TCTCTCTCTCTCTCTCTCTCTCTCTCTCTCTCTCTTCTCCCCCTCTCTCTCCTATATTTTACATTTTTTTAAAAGACGATGATAGTTAAATAGATACGAAGTCTAAGTAGAAAGTGGTTGAACGAGACCTTAGAAGCAACTTCGGAGATTACAAGGATCATTAATCACCAATTATGGTATCATAATGATTAGATATTTAATATATGAGGTATTAATTATGAAATATCGATTCGACCAACTTGTGAAAAAAGAAACTCGGGAAGGAATCTCGAAAAGAGTAAAGAGCTAAGAAATTCATTAAGCGCGTTCGCTCGCTTCAAGCGCTCTCGAATTTTTTCAATTTTGCACGATAAATGTCGTGTAACGACGAGCGCGAGAAAAGGCGCTAGAATCTACAGGAATCTACAGGACGGTCGAACGAACGAGAGAGGCGAATTAATGCCTTTCACCGTGATACCGATCGTTAGTACCTCGCCGTTACGCGAATCCCCGTGGAATATCGCGGGGTTGTCTTGTGATTCCACGTTGATGACGTTCAGAGTCTTCTCCACAGTTAACGGCATGTAGAAAAATGCAATTATTAAGATTTTAACGGCAAATAAATCGACGAAACAAGAGTTGGAAGATAAAAGCGTGAGAGATCATTTAAAAATTCTTGGCTACAATTGGTCAATATATTTACTACTAAAGTCTTTTTATATGTCATAAGTTTATAGTTCGTATCAGGAATTGAAGATAAAAATTGCGAATTGAAGATTAAAATTCGACCAATTGGATAAGCTCGATTTTAATCTTTTTATTTTGACTGGTCGAATTCTAATCTTCAGTTGGCAATTCTTTGATCTCAATTCGTAGTCCGATACGGGGGGGGGATTCGCAAGATTCAGTTCCTCGAAATCTCTGGCACTACAGCGATAATCTATAGGCGTCACTTTGGGGCGTCATAGATTAACGCTGGTTATCGCGATACTTGCTCGGTATTTGCTGGTAACAACGTCCTAGAGTACCTTTCAATGTTATCGCAATGCGGGATGACACAAATCCGTTTAGGAATTCCTCTCGGACATCGTCACAGTGTTAGAAAAGTCGCAGAAATATGACTTGGACTCACCTTGAAAGCTCACTCTGGCTCACTCGTTTCGAAATCGCCGCTCTCTGAAAAATCGCGATAGCTCCCTCTGATGCTTCAATATTCGCACATACACACAGTACCCCGGACGCACGATGACGATGATGACGATGACGACGACGACGACGACGACGGCGATTGAAGAAAGGGGCACGACGATCACGACGGGCAGCGTCGACAATCGGGGATCGCCGACGGGAAACGACGAGGGGAGCGCACACGGGACGTCGTTTGGTTCCTTCAGAAGGGCCGTGGCGAGTAGTGCCGACGCGATTCCGCCGAACAGTCCGTCACGGTCGATAGAGGTGCACGGACGAAAGCAAGCGCCATTTTATCCCGTGCACTCGCGGCAACGCGAAAGGTGGACGGACGGCGCGGTGCACCGCGCGCGCGACGCGACGCGGGGAGGGAGAGGGGTGTACACGCTCTTCTCTCGCGCTGTCTCTCGCGCTCACGCTCGCCACCTTCCCCTCTCACTCTCTTTCTCTTTCTTCTCTCCCTCTCTCTCTCTCTCTCTCC